TATATATATACTCATACACATACACAGTACATACGGTATATACAATATATGCAATATAGGCTCATATTTCAGCCTAGAATACAAGTCAGGGCAGGCACTCCTGAGCTTCGAATCCATGGAGAACGAGGGCATTGCTATAAAGACGGCTTCTTAGACTTTGCACGGTCATACTTCGGGGCTTCACCTTGCCAACCCACGCATCGTTCCGCACCTAGCCCTAAACCCTAACCCTAAATTCTACTAAACCCCTAAACCTAAACCGCTAAACCCTAAATCCCTAAACCCTAAACCCTAACCCTAAACCCTGAACCCTCTGTCAAGGTTCAAAGCCGTCATGCTGGCATCTTTGAGGTCCCTGGTGCCCAAGGACTGACGGATCTGTCCTGTTGCGGAGGGGACTCTACGGCAACGGTCTATGGCTTAATATAGAAGCCGAAATTCTTACCAATAGGTTCCTTATTATAAGTATAGTGTATTGGGCCCCAGAACACTATTCTAATTATTAAGGCCCTTACATTAGGGTTGTGCACCAATATCTCTCCGGCGAGCCCAATTTACGACGATGCCAGCAAAGCCCCCCGTATTTACATGCATTCATCAATCCGTGATTGAACGGTTTTTCAAATCCTTGCAGTGTGCAATTTCCCGTTCATGCACCCAGGAACCCCTAAACAAACCCATGCAGTACAGTAACCCATGTAGCAAATCATGGCAGCCGGTAAACCTCACGCAGCCTCAGGAGTGGGACTCCCAGCACGAGGCGAGCTGCCTGCGATCGGAAACCCTAAACCCTAAACCCTGGTCATTGGATGCTCTGCTAGACGGAAAAAGGCGTTCAAAAAAAAAAAAAACCCTGGTCATTTATGCTTCATCGAAGACGATACCGGGGATGCATCTGCAGAAGGTCCGGTCCAGTGTAGGAGACCTTGTTTTGTCTAATGACCCCCTAAACCCTGAACCCTAGGAGCTTAAAAACAAAACACACACTGACAAAAAGTATTATTACTATTATTATTAGTATTATTACTACTTTATTACTATTATTGTCATAGTTATTATCAATAATCTTACTTTTCATTACTATTCTTTTTCTGATTACTATTACTATTACTATGGTTGACCGACCCCCCTGCTAAGAAGGCCATCCTCCTAGTCGGCGCTCGGCCGTTATGGGTTTAGGGCTTTGGGTTTAGGGGTTTAGGGTTAGGGCTTAGGGGGTTTAGGGGTTTAGGGTTAGGGCTTAGTTAGGGGGTTTAGGGGTTAAGGGTTTTAGAGTGAAAGCTCACCGCGTCGCTAAAAGTGGTCCTAGGTCGCGTGGAATTGGCTCTGGGAGAACGTGGAGCGGATGCTTCGGTCTCACATCGGCAAGCCCCAGGTGCGGATGATTGTTAAGGGTTTCGGGTTCAGGATTTAGGGTGGAGGGGTTTGGGAAATGTTCTCTTTTCGTGTCCTTGTCCCGTGATGGGATACTAGTAGTAAACACACCCTACATCATGCGTGGGTGAAGTTCGGACCTTATGGTGGCGTTTTCTGGAATGTTGGGCATCCGCCAATTCAAGAGATTCTGGCCTTGAAAGTGGCGGCGGTCCCGATCTAGGCCAAAGCTTTCCCCGACACCCGAACCTTCAGCCCAAGCCCCAAACAAGGACTCACACCGCAGACCCCAACGTGCCACTTCATGCTTCTTTCGGTGAAATGTGGGTGGAAGGCGATGTGGTGGAAGTGAGGTAAGGGAAGCGCTAGTTACGGCAGGGACAAGTTTAATGAAGAATTCCCGAGACGTTGTCTTTTGGCCTTCTCAAGTCAGTTCGAGTCACTCCATGCTGCCTTAAGCCAGAAGCCAGAACCCAAGAGAACCAATAATTGAATACATGGCAAAAGGAGGAATGACGGGACGAACGGGGACACACAACCTTGAACGCTTCAGCCAGACACCCTCAGCCCCACGCCCCAAAGGGTCAGTACTCAAAACCCCAACCCTAAACCCTAAACCCTAAACCCTAGGCCCTAAACCCTAAACCCCTAAACCCTTTACTTTCCATCCAGAAGCTCCCAAAGCTGCCAGGGAGCAAAACAGCGATAAAGTCGACACCAAGCCCTCCCGGAAAAACCCTGAAACACTGGAGCCCTAAGTCCCCAAAACCCAGAAGCTTAAAGCCCACACCTCTCCAAATAACAGAATCAGGCCCTAAACCCCTGAACCCTGAACTAAACCCAACTCCTCTGTTTCCATTATTCCTTTGCCTTTAGTTCAATTATAACATTAGGAGTGGGTTTTTAATGGCTAATAAAGGAAATCAGGAACCTGTTGTTTATTTCAATTAATAATAAAGTCATCACTCGTTCTCCGTTCATGGATGTTGTGACAAGGAAGCACACGGATGAATGGTTTCGTTTAATTCATTTAAAGAGAAGTAAAACAAGAATCTGAGGTCACCTTTCATGCTGTTACGTTTGCTTCTTTTTTCTGCATTCCATTCCATTCCTCTTTCACTTCGTTCTCTCCTCATTACATTACATTGAAAGAAACAAGACATCCCCTACATCCTGGTTTCGTTCACTTCTTTCTCGTTCTGTTGCTTATTTCATGCTTCCATTCCTTCCACTCGTTTCATTATAAATAAGCAACAGGAACGACCAAGAAGTTCTCTTCATATTTTACAGGAGTTAATAATTACAAGGGAGAAAAACACTGAGAGGAAAGGTCAAGGAATAATGAATCAGGCTTTTGGTGCAGGATTTAATATTTATTGGTATTTTTCAATTGGAGGTAGACCGCTATCACCAAATAAAGGAGCAAACGAACCAAATTCCAAGGTGTTACACGGTTATAGCT